TTTTGTCAAATTATACAAATTTCATTGTGTTCACAGGAGGCAAGCTTCCTTATTTAACTGGAAAAATCACTTAACTGGAAAGATCATTTTGCATGACATTAGAAAAAAAGAAAAAAAAACAAACAAACAAAAAACAACTGCATTCATAGATCCCTAAAATTTAAAATAGTAAAAAATCTTACTGTCCTGGTGTTACAGAATTCTTTGTATTTTACATGCTTTTTCCCAGAAATGGATCAAGTTGATGGTGAGGATGGAAGAAGAAGAAAGAGGAACTGTCTTAAGAATGAGACTATACCCTGGCCAAATGAAGCCTCTCTTTCTAATGTGCAAATGAGAATGCTTTGACAGGTCTTGCTACTTGCCCAAGTATGACATGGGATATGCTGCTGTCCCAAATCTGTGGTGAAGAACAGATATGAGAGTTACGTGGACTATAGAAGAATCGTCCCTCTAACCCACATCACTGCATTCTTCCCTCCAGTCCCTGAAAACGTCTGCTAAGGAAAGGCAATATGTCTTATATTAAAGAAAAGATATTGTACTACTAAAGAAGAACAATGGAAACCTCTTCCTTTGGAAAGAGATACTTCAAAAAAATCATGACAGCAGCCACGAGAGAAAGGCAAAGGAATTCAGTGGAATTCCATGTTTGAGCATATATACTGGTCAGGAGTTGAAGAAGCAGCAGATTTTTCTCTCTCTCTCTCTTTTTTTTTTTTTTTTTTTTTCGGAGGAGGAGGAGGAAGAAGAGACAAAGTATATATCACTGTCATGTTGAAACAAGCTAGGTTTTCCTCCATTGTGTCTTGGGGAACGACTGGCCAGAAAAATACCTACAGCAACAGATGCAATAGAAGTATTTGCCAGCTTGTGCCTTCCAGCAGATGCTACGTTGTTCATCCTTCATCCCTCTTCAACCACAGTGACATTAGCTTTAGACTAAAATCATGGTTCTGCAGGAACACAACACTGCAGCTGCCTGACCCAAGTTGTTAAAGTCATACAAGAAAATCATTTTTTCTTAATTTGTTAGGTTTAAAAATAATACCAGCACCACTAGCATTCACTCAGTCTAATTCATTCCTGTGCAGTTTGAATATCCACGAGTACACAAACCAGATGTCAAATTTTCCAGAATGATTAATTCCTGCTCCACGTTTTGCTGCATTACTTCCTTTTAAAGAAGTAGTCCCTTGCTACTAAAGAAAAGTTCAGCCTAAGGCCTTAACTTGTTGGAAAGGAAATGCCAAATTGCTCTTTGTGATACAAAATACATGTTGTATACAGTAATTACTCAAAATTTTCATTTAGAAACTCTTTCATATTAAAGAAATAGGATAGCGAATTAACAAGCAAACAAACAAAAAACGCTAACTTTACAAATATCTCTATTTCATTTTCTGTAATTTAAACCTGGCATGATGTCCTTCCTGGCCATTGCAATGTTTTAAATGGTAGACCCTGTTATCTCACTCAAGGATTTTTGGAGGAGTTTTTAAAACATTGCTCTTTTAGGTATTAAAGATGAAATTATTTAAACCCCTGGAGGAAGCAGGGTAGAGTTTGCAAGTCTGAATGGATTTTTGCACTGCTCAGAGCCTATTATGAACAGTAGGGGTAAGTATATACATGAAATAGAACAAGGCAGATATTTTGAGAGATGTGTATAGTGATGGGGCAGTAACAAAATAATTAACTGGGCTGAATCTCACGGAGCAACGTCTAATACATTAACCCATCAAAGTACCTGACACATACTTATAATCTCAAGGGCTTTAACAATTCCTCTGAAGTTAATGGAAGTGCTTTGCTGGATCACAGCCAGGTTGCTCAACTTCTGTAGTTATGCCCTAAAGCACCATCAATGATTTTTTCCCTAAGCACAAAGGCCACAATTGCATCAGAATGGTATGGTTGTGGTATACTGGGGAAAAATAATAGCAGATGGAAGAACAGATTCACTAGCCAAACATTTCCTCTTCCAGCAAAACTTGAATAAACCCAATAGAGGCTCCTGCAAAGCTGTGTACAGCAGCAAAGGAGCATTTAGACCTTTCTGAAAACATAAAATAAAACCCATTAATGTGCATTTTGAATAAGTGTATAAGGTCCTGGCCTCCAATGAATAAATATAGTACATATGAGTACACGGAAAAGTACCACTGCTTAGGTGTAGATCCATAAACTTGTTTCAAAGATACACAATACAGTCATAGGCTTTGTAAGAAAAAAAGAGGAAGAGATCACTCCAGTGTCAAGAGATGAAACTTATCCTCAATTGACAAAGACATGTTCAAGCATGACTGAGATTGCCTTGAACTGAGGACTCAAAGGATTCATCTTTTAAAACATGCAGGGTTTCTTGGAAAAAGAATATATAGAAATACATAAATTTTCAACTTAGGAGGAGGCTTGAAAAATCATCAACCTTTTGGCTTAGCATTAATGTTACTGAAATAATATATTTTTGAGGTATGTATAGCAACACATTTGAGGTATGTATAGCAACACATTCCACAAAACATTTAGTCCAGAACCTGTACTGCCTTGCATTGTACTCATACAGTGTCCAGATCTTTGTTTAAAGGTTAGTGAAAAAATATTTAGAATAAAATCAAGTTGTTACAACTTTATTGTTCTTCACTGTGTTGTATCAGTAATGAATTTGACCCTGTGTTCACAGATGAAGAGAATGCATTGAAAACTTCACTTAAACAAGCTACATCAAAAGCATATAACAAATAAAGGCAGAGCTATTCTAGGCAGAAATTATACTGTCAGAAGAAAACACAGGTCAGTAAATATTCATTTGTTTTATAAAATGGAAAAAGGGACTGAGATGAAGTATCTTTAAAGAGAAGGCTGAGAAAATACAGCAATACTATATAAACTAAATGCTAGAGCAGCCAATCTCTGTATAAAAAAAAAAAAAAATCAAACCTTCAGATTTACTGTATTTGAGCTTTCTACTTCAAAAGTTATCTTGTAGAATATGTCTTGTTCTTTCAAGTCTTCTTCAAATCAATGGTATCACAGCATGTGGTACACAACTAGCATATAAATACAATAGCTAAGTACTTTAAGAAAGCAGCATTAGCTTTATTAATAGACACTATCCCTCCCCTTACACTACATATTTTAAATAGAGCATATGTTCAAAAGGGGTCCAATACCATATGCCTAAAGACTGAGTTTTCCTGCCTTATTCATGGAATAAGAATAAGAATTAGCAAGGTAGAGTGAAGACTGATGAGGTCATTAACATCTCTAAATAGTAGTTAAAGGTTCAAAACCATGTCATACTGTGTATATATATATATATACACAGTATATATATATATATAAAATAATTGTTATCTGTATAGGAAAATTTGCATGTCATATACATTGTAAGAAAGACATACAAGACCAGACTTTTCAAAGACAATGCTATCTCTCATAGGAATTGTTTCTAAAATGACCCAGCCAGCCTTCTAAGAGTGTAGATTACCTTTTACTATCATTAACTGGAATGAATTTATAAACATTTCTGAATTTCCACAGAAATAGATACCATCTAACAGTAGATTAAGGGCCTAACTAGGCACCCAAGATTTTAACACTAGCCTGAATTACCAACGAAAAATATTAAAGATACGTAAAACATACAAAAAAAACACGATATATAATTAAAGCAGATTTCTTGGTTTGGATAAGGCACTTGTAGTACTTTTCAGGTGGCTGTAATGGTCTTGCCAAAGCAAGTAATTATAGCTATTGCCATTGATTAGCGAAAGCTAACATTCCTGCTGGCAAAATTGCTATTGTTTCTTATTTCTTACTCTTTTTGACTTAAAAAAAAATATATATATATATATATAATAATCTCGTCCCTTCTTTATTAATCGTATCCAATTTGCATTTATAAAAGAAGTAATTATTCAAGTAAAATTGCAGTAATTTATTTCAATATAATCTGTTGTCAAACTGCTAAAATTAGGCCAGAAGGAAAAAAAAACATATATATATATAAATGAAAAAAAAAAAAAAAAAAAAAAACAGAAAAAAAGAAGAAAAACCTAAAGAAAAACCAAGACTTTTACAACAACAGATTCTCATTTTCTTCTTCTAAAATTACCTGAAAATCAGCATCCCTAGTGCTTACTTCTCATCTTTTGGGAATATTCCTTAAAACTCACACAGCTTCAGGAAAACTTTATAGCAGAATCCAAACCAGCTGCTATTAGGTAAAACTTCAGACACTCTAATTTTCTCCAGATACCAGAAGAACAAAAAAAAAAAAAAAAAGGAAAAAAAAAAAAAAAAAGGCATACTAATAATAAATGTAGGTGAGGGAAAAGAATAGTGTATGAAGGGCAGAAAACTGGGTGGATGCTTTCCCTGAAGCCAGAAACTTGGCTGTAGCAGAGCCACAAAATCCTGCAGGCAGTGAATATTTTTTGTTACAAACTTCGTAGTATTTTTCAGTGGAATTCAACTTGCAGGGAAAAACAACTACAACAACAAAAAACTTTCCTTGAAAAATTTCACCAGTAGGTTGAATTTAATGCTTTCAGGACTGGATTTTTTGTTACAGAACTGACAAGACTAGCTTTCTCACAGGTGAAGTGGGTGAAGTGCTGAAGTCAGGACAAAAGACATTGCTTTCATCCACGTTCCCTATCCTTAAAAGCCCTAAGCTAGTATGCAGACTGGAGGGAGAACTCTGTTTTCCTCATAGGAACAAAACAAGAAAATTACCATTAGCAAACCTATTGTACAGGTTTTCATCCCGTTAGCCAAGCTCTCAATTATATCCCTTGACATAATTTTTTACCTTGTGGTTGCACTTTAGAAATGATGCATACCAATTTATTAATGTAAAAGAACAGCTCTTGGAAAGTCCATCACATTTAGCTAAAAAACGTTTAAGTATTTTCTTCTTCCATTAAGGAACATTTCTGTATTACTTACAATTATAGGCAACAGTTTGTAGAACACAGATGGCAAACTCTTACCTCCTTCTTGGTAAATTCTGGTGCATGGTCATTTTTGTCATCAATAAGAATAGTGGCAGTTGCTGTTTCAGTTAGCCCCACATCAAGACCTCCCATATCCTTAGCTCCTATAACCAGCTCGTATTTGGGGGTTTCCATAGTCTGAAAAATAACAGAAAAGGAAAGGGTTCAAGAAACCAAATAATTACATAGAACTTTTACTTCACATTAAAATTAACAAAATCTGAAACTTAATTTGGTCTGACAAAACATAGCATAGAAATGAATATGATGACATAGTTCAGGTTTTAGCAAAGCAGAAGCAAAACCTTCTCTGAACTTCAGCTGCTAGGATGGAAACCTTATTTAGAATATAATAGGAAGGAAGACAAGTAAATATTGGTAAACAGTACATAACCTATCCTGATATTCAGGAGGATTAGTAAAGAGGGAAGAAATTAAAATATACCTGCTCTTTCAAAGTAAGTTTTCACTTCGCTGCACCAGTATCCAGCAGTCTACCTCCTCAGTATTATGATGGATATATAATTAAATACTGATGTCACAATCTACATATACATTCATTTCATTCATTTTATTTATTAAATTTCATTCATTCTGCATAATAGCATTTAGAATGGCAATCTAAATTTGCTTCCCTGTAAGAAACAGGGAAGTAGTTTCTAAAACAGGCAACAAGTGCCTGTTACTCTACATAACAAATGTGAACAGTAATGTTAACAATTTTACATATGTTTAGCCACTTTTTGTGTTATGGTTACTGATCTGATTGTCTACTTCTTGTGTAGCTAGACAGAGCTAACTGCACAGGTCCAGAGGAAAAGCAACCTTGAAAAACAGCCATGACTTTGAAAAAAAAATAAATTACGGCCACTGCGCTGCAGCGGAAATGTTACAGCATATGTAATTCACCTCTCTCACATTAGACACAAAGTACATCTGTATGCTCACTGGACAACTAAGTATTAGTACATTCGATCAAAGGAAGTTATTAGCCTCAGAACCTGCTCTCATGGAGCTCATAGAGAATTTTGACATGGATTTCACTAGAGACAAGACTGGGTACCTAATGAAAATGAATATTTTCCACATTTGTATGGCCGTCTCATATGGAACCATCTGCACAAAAACCATATGTGCTGCATCATCAATGGAGTACACAGATGGGAAAGTGCTGCAGTCACCTTTAAAGCTATATGGTAAGGATCACCAGTGCTTGGGTGGTTTTTCAAAACTTCCTTGAAAAACAAGTCTGGAGCTCAGGAGCAAAGCTACGTAATGGTACCTGAAAGGGTAGCTAGGGCACCACAGCTCAAGTGCTTTTTTAACCTCAGACTATCTCTATCAGCCATCTGTGCATACAAGAACAAAGGCTGCACATCTTTGACATCATTCATCTATGTCCTTCAGCTAACAGTCTTCCAGAGAATTAACATGCAAGGAGAAAACTGGTGTGAAATTCCATATAGCAACACCGTGATCTGTCTGCCACCCATACCCTGCCTTATAAAGCAGAATCAAAGAAGCTGGAGTAGGGCTTATCCCACAGCAGAGAACCTCTCGCTGTTTAAAATTTAGAAAATAGTTAATTTTCATCTCTACAATAGCAAGCTCTAAGCAAAGGTTAGCAACCTCTGGGCCACACAGTCTGCTCCACAGCTAACTGATTGGAAAGTATTCACTAAATGGTGCTTTGTATATTCTTGTGGGTACATCACAACATCTTCCTTGGAGCATGTGTAAAAGGGGGGTCCTAATTGCTTAGTACTTCAATCCTGAAGCATTTATAGGTCAGAACAAAAGCAACCAGGTCAGTTCTTCATCTGATCACCTATTATGAAGCAATATATTTGCATGTGAAATCAATGAGTCAAGCCAGAAGATATGTTTAGTTCAAAGAACATATGGACTACTAGAAAATTGGGTGCCATTGCCACTAAGAGGATCCTAAGAAAAGTATTTCCTTAAGTCTTACAACATTGTTCCACAAAATTCATCTCAGAAGGCAGCAAATTCAGAACAGGATTTTGATTTATATCATAGGAGAAATATACACAAAGAAAAATTACTGACATTTCTCAAACACAAATTCAAGTTATAGAGTGGAACAAGATTTACAGTTTTCATATATTTCTTTTCTAAAATGTTTTCAAAGTATTGAAAACTGCATGGAGCCTCTCTCCCTTCCCCTAACTGTAACTTTTTCATTATTTTCATTAGCAAGTTGTTATTATTGCATGGAAAACTTGCAAAGCTATTTATTGCTTCATGTTTATAAACCTTTTGCTCAAAAAGAGGCCCATTTTTACTCACAAATTGGCCTTTCTTCCTTTGAAAACTGTCCCATTTTCTGTTGAAAGCAAGCCCATTTATGCTAGAAATTGTGTCTACTGCAGCAGAAATTTCTGTGACAGGAGTCCAATGTTTAAGCTTGCAATGGAATGTGAAAAACATCGAATTTTGAGTAGTATTTCATATCATTATGAATACTTCACACTTTCCTGCTATGCAGCACTTTCTACATCTAGTTCTGTCACCAAATATTTGCTTTGTTATAGAAAGCAACTCTTAACACGTCCAAACCCATGAGCAGAGGTTTGTTCCCATCAGATGTTCTCTTTAGACTTGGAGATGCACATAAAGGCCTTTTCAACATTTCTCATGCTTCTAGCCCAGTTAATTCAGTTCAGTCACTAGCAGCAATTACTTGGATTGTGTGATTTATCACAATACTGGTAAATCCTGGGACATGGGATTGGGGATCTGTGTTCCTCAGCAGGTGATGCTATAGAGGCCCCGGCGTGTGGGGCCCACCGGGGCCAAGCAGCAGCCTGGTCACTTCCCTCTCCCTGTGCCTGCTCCTGCTTCCTGAGAAATGAGTGCCTGTGGAGGAGGGGTGTGGAGGAGAAAAGCAGCCCTCCTTCACCTCCACCACCAGCCTTTCCTCCCTCCCTCCATCTCCACTACACTGTGTGGTCCAGGGAGAAATATAGCACACCACTAACAGGGGAGGATTTGGGGACCCACAGTTGCACAGACTGCTGCTGCACCCTGACATTGCCTGTCACTAAACCCAGGCCTCCCATTTTCTCCAAGCAGCGACCTAGCCTCTAGAACACACTCCCGCAAAAACAATCCAATTATGCTATTTGGATAATGAGACATTAGCAACATAAATATGCATCAACTTTCAAGAAAGTGGATCTACAGCTAAAAAGGAAAATAGATTATATTGAATAAACAAACATTAAGTTGCTTTTTGTGTGGCTTAGTATTTATCAGTTGTGACTGTGTGGAGGGTAACACTGTTGAGAGAGTTTGTATAATTACAGCAGGAGATCCATTCCTTTCCCCATAAATTTTCACTGCAGTCATTTAGCCACGGCAGGGGTGACGCTGGCAAATTCTTTGGATTGCCAAGGAGGTGAGCTGTGTCTTGAGTGCTTTTCTTTGGAGGTCCACCCACTGCCATTCTCACCAGTGCTAACACTGGTATCAGATTGCACTCCCCTGCCGTCTTGACATAGCTGGATCAGCACCGGTGAGCATCAAGATGCCAGAAAGGCACTTTTTTAGATTTTCAGATTCCTGACAAAGCCAGCAGGATCTGATCACAACAGAGAAAAATAAACAGTTCAGTGCAGATACATGCAATTAGAATAAACCAGATGATAAATGGTAGGTAGTAGAGAATGGAACCAGATAATTATGATTTTCTGCCAAGGTTTAAGCTTTTAATATTTCCTACAGATACAAGAAAAAAAAACTATGTGACTTAAGAGATGCAAGCCATAGGTAGTGCTTCACACCACCGGCAGTAACAGTCCAAATCTTGATATGCGTTATTAAGATCGGAAAAAAGCAGCACCGAGGTGAGGAACAGAAATCGTATTGTGGCATCATTCTTTAATAAAGAAACGTATCCAAGCAGTGAATAATTTGTTGTTCACCTAAACTTGATGGCCATGGTAACTACATTTATGTGTGAGAGGAGGAAGAGCAAATGTAGTTTGCTATTCTACACCATCAAAAAAAGTACACCAAATTTTTCAAATCTCCTGAAGCTCCTAAACCAAGCAGAAGTGTTTGTCAATGAATGAATGCATTTGTAGCTTTGCACCATTTCACTGGGGTTATGGACTCAGCATTTTGAAAATCAAGACCTTTATTTATGTGCCTAACATATAATGAAATGCTTAACTTCTGAAGTTCAAACATTTTGGTCAAATGTTTTATTTGAAAATGAAGAAAAGCGGAGTAAGAAATGCAGATTCACAAGAAACTGTCCCAGAAACTGTCTCTCCAGCATTTCCTCCTGGCTGGAGACCTTCATAAGAGACCTACAGATTGCACGTACAGAAAAAAGAAGACAGCTCTCAACAGTGTCACAGTATCACAGACTTCATTTGGCACTACAACACATCACCTAAAAAAATGAGGGGAGAATAGGAATTCCCAAATTCACATGAAATAGTTGCTAAGATCAAAACAAACACTGTTTGGAAAACAAACTTTGTACAGAATATTCAAAACACCTGTAGGGGTTTTAAGTGTATTTACAAGCTATCTTAATGCCTACTGCCAATAGAGTTTTGTACTATTTTGTGGATATTAGTATTTTCTATAGCAGTGCAACAAGGCCTCAATGCCTCTGTTTATAATTCTGTTTATAAACTATGTATTCATGCATATTAATATATCAGCAGTATGCTACCATATCGTAGTTGTTACTAATGCCTTTATAATATAATGTTAACCAGAAAGAAAAATTCTTTGAATTTAAATAATTTCAGTTAATGCTAAATAAATGCTTGTGTTCACTTAAGATGATAATTGCATGTAGTATGCACTGAATACATCCTATTAAGACATAATCAATCTTCTTGTTGAGTAACAATATCAACATTCAATCTAACACTGAGTATGCTGTCAGGATTTTGACAAATGTAGAATAAAAAAATGAAGTAATGTGACTATTAACAGCTTTAACAGACATAACGCTTTTATAATCATAATATCAGCATTTATTTTAAATGCCAATTGCTGCTGTGTAAAAAGGGCACTGTAGACAGACTTTGCATTCAGAGCATGAATTACAGTTAGATGAATACAAAAACGAAAACAAATTTGTAATGTTAATT